ATATAAAGATTTTTATAATTCTTTTTTATTTTAGCCGTATTCAAAATGGTGCACGCCGCGCCGTGAATTATGCACCATGACTCCACGGGAAACTTTGCGCCATGCTGCGCCATTCGTCTTTGACAAGTATGCTTGTAGCCAAATGTGCATCATATGAGATAAAAAAAATCTCAACATACAAAGTCAAGTGCACATTCCAAGAACAACGTGTTTCCATGAACAACTACTACATCGAACAAGAAAAGGATGAAGGGATTCGAGTGGCCTGCGGTTGGGTCGGAAAATAGGGAGCATGCAGTGGATAGGAGTAAAGAGATTGAGTGGATGTGAGTTGAGATCGATGTGTGGATGGTAGAGAGGCTCAAGCCTATGTCTTCAGAGTAGAGAGAAGAGAGAACAAGTAGCATGAATGCTTGACCTTGTCCATGCAAGGAAGTGAAAACAAGAGACATGCTCAAACTTTTTGAGACTAAAGGAAAAAAAATGGGGAGTTGCTGCCAGCATTTTCTGTGCTCATTCTTTGCCAATTGGATGAAAAAGACCTGGAAAAGATGTCCAACGATAGAGAAAAGATGTATAGGAATAGGTAGAGAATTTTATTTTTGTCAATCGATAGAGATAAGACCTTATCCATTTATTCAGTTGGCTAAATAAATAAAATTGAAACAACATATTACTTGCACATTATGTCCATCTTTCTCATATATAGAAGTCTTGCTTATATATAAAAGTAATTTCTAATGGCTACGACCACATAAACAATATTTGGACTGCTAAACAGAAAAAAAAATACAAGGTTTTCTTTAGATATATCTTAATATGTTTGACAGCAAATTGTAGAATTAAAAAATAATTTCAAATAGAAAAAAAATTCGACCAACAATAAAAAAAATTGCAAATCAATATCAGAAAGACGATGGTGATGGAACTTGAGATGTGCAAAATTCGGAATCCAAGAAAACAGCCCAAAAACAATGGAAAAATGGAAGATTTCTTGGATAGAAAGACTCACAAACACTTGGATTACTTAAATAACAAAAGAC